CGGGGCTGGACGCAGCTTGCACCAAATTGCAATCTTTGCAGAGACTTTTCGAACCCACCACCCCGGCTCCCCCTCTGCGGCCCCCTGACTCCCCTTCCCGTGGCCCGGCCAAGTTCCCCTCCGCCAAAAAAAACTTGCTCAAAGGCCACTTTCGGAACTTCACTCTCTCCTTTTGCGATACCTACACTGTCTGGGACTTGCTGCTGGGCATGGACCGCCCCGACAGCCTGGACTGTAGCCTGGATACCCTGCTGGGGGACCTGCTAGCCGTGGTGGCCAGCCCGGGCTCCGGGGCCTGGGAGGCGTGTAGCAACTGTATTGAGGCATACCAGCGGCTGGACCGACACGCTCAGGAAAAATATGACGAGTTCGACCTCGTGCTGCATAAATACTTACAGGCGGAAGAGTACTCAATCCGGTCCTGCACGAAAGGCTGTAAGGTAAGGACTGGCTTCCGTAGCCACAACAGCCGCCCTGGGCAGCGGCAGCGGCAGCGGCAGCGGCAGCAGTGGGATGGGAAGAAAAAAGGAAGTCTCCCTTTCTACCCACCCCACTACTCCCACCGTGCCCAGTGCAGCACTAACCAGTGCCACCCTGGGACCCTCCCTAGTAAAGGGGCCTCAGGGATTCAGGTCAGGTAACCACCTGGCCAACTTCTGTTAATTCCGGGTTTGGGCACCTTAGGCCTGGGGCTTCCTGGAGTAGGGAGGGGCCACGGGGCCCTGGGCTGACAATGAGGTGGCAAGAGGGATTGTGCTCCCCCTAGCCTCCATCCTCAGCCAGCCATGCCCCCCTCCTTTCCGAAGCTGGAATTGAACGTCCTGGGACTGGCTGGTACAGGGGGAAGGCCAAAGACGGGAGGAAGAATATTTGGCAACCAAACCCTCACCCTTTGGCTTCTGCCAGTGGCTGAGAGGAGGAGCACTCCTGGTGGTGGGACACACCAAACTCTTGACCTTACGTGACCTGAGGTGGCTGGCCAGAGCCGAGGCAGGTCAACCCCAGGGGGGTGCCTGTCTTCTCCCAAGGAAGTCACCTGCAGGCTCTACTCCCCTGACAAAGGAAGGAGCTGGGAACAGGGAACAGCGACTGGTGGGAAGGCCACTGAAGGTTGGTGCATTCTCATACAAAACTCCTAGTGCCTTCCCAGCACCCCAGGGTGACAGTGGAGGGAAAACTGACTTTCTAGCTGCTGAGGATAGGTATCCAGAGGAGAGGCGAGGCAGCTGCAGAACAGGCCCGCCTAGGGAAGAGCCGAGTGTTAAACTTCTTGATCCTCGGCCGGGTTGCTCTGGACAGTTAGGTGGGTGAGGGCTGCAAACATTTGGGACTTGATGCTACTGCCCTGCTCACCCGGCCTGGCCAGGTGACCTGCCTTTGGGAGGAAAGAGAACAGCAAGGTCAAAGGGTCAAATGACAAGGAGATCGGGAGGGGTGGTGACCTCACACATCCTCGAGCTGGGGCCAAGAGCTGGAGAGTGAGACAGTTGCTTTCTAGCCTAGCTCATCTCCCTCCAAGACTTTGGGGAGGGGCAGAAAGTGCCCTTTTCCATCCAGCATGGCCCTTGTGGACTTCTGCAGGGCTTCCATGCTTTTGGCGGGTTCCCTAGGGATTGGGGGCAGAGGGTTGGGCAGGAAAGGGGTAGTTCCTCGCTCCTGACTTCACTTTCTCCTTCTCCTTTTTCCTGCTCTCGTAACCTAGCAGTCTCCCTCCCGCCTCCCTCAGCCTCAGCTGACTCACTGCCTCACTCACACTACCAAATGAGATATTCCACTTCTTAAAGGTGTACAAGCAGATAGACACATACACTGCCATACACCATCACCACCACCCTGGGCAAAGTCACATAGACATGCAGAGAGGTCGTCACACCCACAAACAGTGTCACAGAAGCAGATGCCGTGTCACACACACGCACATCTCCCCATGGTGTCAGAGACACGCAGGCAGAAGTACTGTCACATGAAGAAGGACACATTTTGTCTTAATAGAGACACATACCCTTGATGTCAGCCACGGACACATACACTCAGTGGGAGCAGAGAGACAGGGTCCACAAGCAGATGGAATCGAGGATGTCTGTTTTTTGTGGCCCTCCCTTCAACCCCATGGCCCTGTTTTTTGTTTGTTTGTTTGTTTGTTTTGTTTTTTTCCTCAATCACCAGTATGGATGAGAGGCACACCACAACTTCCCCACGGGGTTTTCTCCATGTTGTAGTTGATTCCGATTTCTGTCTGGACCTGAACTAAATACAAATCTCTCATGTTGACTGTTTTACCAAGCAGTGTGACGTAGAAGAAATATATCTGATCTCTCTGATTCAGGAGGCCTTATCACCTCTACCTCTTGTAAGTGGTATGACCTTGGGCAAGTCACTTCACTTTTGTAAGCTTTCATTTCCTCATTTGTAAAACAGGGATCATCATCCTTGCTCTGCCCACATCCTGGGTCTTTTGTGGGGAGAAGGTGCAGATGTATTTTGTAATAAGAATATAACATCTGACATTAATGTAATGCTTAGGGTTTTTCCGCCCCTCTCGTGTATGTTATGAGATCAAGGAGGCTGGTGATACTAACACTATTACTCCCGTTTTACAGATGAGGAAATTTAGGTGCAAGGGGATCAAACGGTTTGCCCTAAGGTCACTCAGATAATGAGCAGGAGTGCCAGGACTCCAGCCCACCTGTTTTGGTGCTAAGCTGGTGCTTTTGCCATGGCCTCACATCAAGTTCCTGATGGCCCTCCCTCCTCTCCTTTGTCTTCTTGTCTGTCTCTCTCCAGCAAACCAGCGAACTCCTCCTGCTCTCTTGCTGCCTGCTGTGCCGGCAGAAGGGCAGTGCCAGCTCCACAGCTCTCTTCCTGCCTTTCCCACCCCTTGTCCAATGCTCTCTCCCTCAACTGAGGCCAGACCCACCTGGCTCTCGAATCCAGCTGTATGATGGGCACTAAGGGAAAAGACAACCTTGCTACCCTTCTTGGACTGTAGGCTCCTCTCTCCTCAGCCCCTCACCCCACCTCCCTGGCAGGCCTTAGTTGCCATTCCCCAACCCTGTTCCTGGGCTCCAAGCCCTCCTGTCCAGTCCCCACTCCAAATGGGATCCCTGGGAGATGATGCCCCACCCTCAGAGCTTCTCCAGAGTGGAGAGCCCACAGCCCCAGGCCAGGATGAAGACACTTTCTCTACTTCTGGAAACCAAGCTGGGAACCTCTGTTCCAGAGCCAGGTGACCCCCTGTCCCCAGGGCCCTGTCCTGAGTGCATCAGTTAGCTCTTCCCTGGGTGGCCCCAGAAACCCTGTTCTCTGCCTTTGCAATATCTGCCCCTGTTTCAGGCCACACAGGGCCCTACGAATCATACCTGTCCTCGCTGCTGCCTGTGACACCTCCCAATTTAGTACCAGCTGCAACATTTCCTTAATGTGTGACTGACTTCCTCTCACACAGCAGGGCAATGTTAACTTAGGCAGGCCGATGCCCTTCCCCGCCCTGGCCTCTCCCAGCTCCTAGGGTCATGCCTCACCTCTCTCTTATCTCCCTGTGCATCCCCCCAAGCCCTGTTTCCTCCAACCCCCACCCCACTCTCTTGGACCTAGCTAGGGTTACTGGACAACCACCTCACTCCCCCATGCCTCTCCAGCCTCCCAGTTCTGCCACGCTTCTGCCTTTCTGATTGCCTCTTCCCCCACCTCTCTCTTTCCTACTCTCTCTTCAGAACATTCAGACTAGGGGGAGTGATGGAGATGGGGGCAAAATCCTGACTTCTCTCAAAGCTATTGATCTGAGAGGGAATAGAGGCCCAAGGGAGGGACAGTTCTTAGCTCTCTCACCAGCCATAGGGTTGCATTAGTAAAGATGAGTAACAGGGAAAGATGTGATAGTTCTGCTCTACTCCAGACTGACCCAAGCACACCTGGCAGACAGCATGTTTGATTTTGGGTCTCACACTGACTGGGCTGAGGAGGAGGCAGGAACCCATGTTCTTCTGGAGAGAGTAGAAGGAGGTGTTTCACTTGGAGAAGAGGCGACTCAGGCAGACATGCTGTCTGACGTCACACCTCAGAAGAGTTGACATGGTATAAATGAAGAAGTATGACCTGCGTAGCCCCAAAGGGCTTTTGTAGTTAGAAAGTCCTAGGTTAAAACGTAGTTCTTTTATTTATTACCTGTGTAACCTTGAGCTAAGGACGTCAACTCTCTGAGCCTCACTTTTCTCACCTGTAAAATGGGGCTAATTCATTGTAACAGTCCTGCGAGGTCATTATTAATGAGAAGAGTCTTTACAGTACCTAGACCTGCCATAGGAGGGTTGCTCAGTTTCTTCCTTTCAAAAAAGGAACAGACTGCCTTAGGAGGAAGTGAGTTCCTCCTCCCAGGAAGTGTCTGGCCCGGTACAGGTGGACCCTTGGGGAAAATGTCATGGAGGCAACTCTAACACCAGATTTTGAGCAGAGTTGGACCGGGTGACCTTTGAGGTCTATTTCTGCCTGGATTTTAGGCCTGTGAGCAAAGCTTGCTCCTTGAACAGCAGCACTGGATGGGGAGGGCTGGGGAAGGAGGTTGGTCCTAACACCTACACAAAGAGAGGGGGTGGGGGGCTGCCAGAGCTAGCGCCTTGCCTTCTGCCCGTACCCGCTGGGGCCCTGCTCTTCCTCCACTCCGGCTGGCAGCTGTTTCTGCCTCACTGCCTTCCTCTCTCCTCCCACCTGCCACAGCTTTCCTGCCAAGCAGGACTCCTTGCTAACACTGGGTATGAGGGGTGCTGAGAGCAGGGAGCTCAGGGCACTGGTTAAAGGACAGGAGCCCCAAGTTGGCCAGTGGTCTCTGTTACCATCACACAGGCTTGCAGTCAGGGAGCAGTGCCCCACAGGCAGCCTCCCTGACCCAGGGCTCTTAGAGCCAGAGAGGTGCCCTGGTCCCTGTTTGGGGGTAGAGGAAGGGGCAGGCTGTCAATAAACAGTCTCTTGGGAGCCATGGCAAACCCTGCCCTGGGAGAGGGGCCTCCAGATCCACAGAAGCTCATCTCGTCACCAAGGAATGTGAGCATGGGGTTCTGGGAAGGAGCAGGAACCAGGAATCCTGGAGCAGGGACAGAGAGGAGGCAATGTTTATAGCTAGGACAAGGACACAGGGAATTAAGACTGGGAGTGGGAAAGTGGCCTCATGCTGCTCACACCTTTCCAGACCCTTCACGCCCACCCTGACCTGCCCCAACTCTAACCCCCATATTCTTCCCACATGTTAGCTCACACCCAACATGCCTATCCACTTTCCAATGACCCTACAACCTTCCCAATCTTCTACTTATCACCCTAGGCTTTTCCCAAGTCACACCCACGCCTTACTCCCTCTACCTATAGTCCTCCAACCCCTGCCCCTCCTGACAGTGACCTCTACCCCCTTTCACCCCAACTCTGGACCTCACTCCCCACCTCTTTCCTG